CTATGAGGAATTCTTGGAGATTGTTCCTGAAATCTCTCCAGGAGCATAAGCAAGCCCTTGCTCGCTGTAGTCGTCTCCAGAATACGACGTCATACGTCATCACCGTCAAGCAAAGGAGGTCCACCGTAACCGCTCTAACCCAAAGCAGCTACCTAGATTCCTCAATCGACTCACTGTGGGACAGTTTCCTTGAGCCATTAACTCTGGATAATAGAAGACCCTTGCAACGAGTATTTCAAATGACGTAACCGTACAACGTCCGCCGAAGATCTCGCCTCAGCCCGAACCTTGCTACTCCTAGCAGATTTTTGTGATATCGCTCGTGTAGAAGGCTTTGAGGAAGCTATTTTATATTTTCTGATGTGCTCTTCAATTCCCTATTGGGAGCATCGAGTTTGGAATATAGTAAAATGATTAATCAGCTTCAGATCAGGTGTTTTTCTGTTGGTTTTCCCTGATAACTACAGGTTATGCTCCTTCTGAGTACTGACCAAAGTTACAAATACGGGATGCAGTTCTCAAAACCACAGTAACAATCTTGCAGGTCGTGAAATATTGCAATGTCAAAATCGCTTCACCACAATCGTGATGACTTCCTTACTGCGACCTTCCATGTTATTACTGCTGAAAATTTAAGGATTTTAAACGGCGAAATTGGTCTCGGAGTTCATCATTCTCCCCACCACGGTTGCAACTTTGTTGAACGTTCACAGGCTACCAAATTCGATGCAGGCTCCCACTCAATTGGCGATTTGTTTGGCAAATTCATCTAACCTTTGTTGCGGTATATCATTTTTTTTCTTGATTTGACCACTCAGGAAACCAAACACCTACGAAACAACTTCGATGCAACTGCTTGTACACAAAATAATTAATTGACTTCATCTCAACCTAATGGTCTGAAAACTATTCCTCATCCAAATTCGTTATAACAATAAACATAGGGATGATCAAGACGTTCCATATCGAGTAATCTTACAGAGCGAACAAAATCATGAAACCCATGGTGAGGCAGAAAAGTCCCATAGCTTCGGAAAGGGCA